CGCGATCACAAAGTCTCCAAGCATAGTTTTCCAACACGCAACCGCCTCGTTCACCCTCTTCGCCGGACTGCACCAGATTTGTCAGCCCGTGGCCCATCGCACCACTAATCACAATGACATGCATTCGAAATCGAGAGAGAGCTTCGTTTCGCAGCTCTGCTGATCACAATCATCCCGTCGAAGCGCCGTTGAAGAGTGAATGACGCTGTGCGACTGGAGTCCCAATCGATGTGGGTACGATGAGGATTTCGCTTAGTTCGCACCTCCATCAAAGATGATGTTGATTGCTCCTTGCACATTGCCTCCCGCCAAGAGCAAAGCTCTCAAATTTCTAGGTCCGTCCGTCAGACCCATAGCCTGTAGATGGCAGAAGTGCAGTTCGAGCATCGGAGCCAGTCGTCAGAAGATCATGAAGCGCTGCACTCGTCTGTCCAAGCATTGTGCCGAGAGCTTCGCGTAGCCACGCATCAATCCACCCGTGTTGCTCGCCACTCACCTGCATCTGTGCCAGCTCGTCTGCATACCTCTCCTCGTGTGGACGTCCGTCAGCCGGAGCAGGTGGTGTTCCGCCGCCGAAGCCTCCAAGTCCGCCGAGCGCTGCAGCGAAAGGGTTCGCTCCACCTGCGAATGGGTTACCAGCAGGAGGGCTACCTGCGCCAGCTCCACCGGGACCTCCTTCACCAAACAGACTGCGAAGGAAAGAGGGATCCATCATACCTCCAGCTCCACCTGAACCCCCAGCACCTTGGCCGCCCAAAGCTCCAAGCGCCGCAAAAGGATTTTGCGCAGCTGATGAGCCAGGTGCCCCTCCCGCTTGATTCTGTCCCTGGCCTGGCCCTTGTTCACCTCCGGTACCGAAAGCGCCAGGAGGAGGCCACTGAGGTGCTTGTCCGCCTCCCCCAAACATGCCTGCTCCTCCAGCTCCGCCTCCAGCGCCACCTCCCATCATTTGCGAAAACTGCGCGGCTCGTCTCATCGTGCTGTCGAGCCACGTCCCGAGAAGAGGTGATAAGCTCCAAGGCTTTTATTGGACGAAGACGAGCAGACTCACGCTGGGTCTGTCATCATGTCTATGAAAAAGGGCGAGCGGAGCATGTCCCTTGCTCCGGGCATGTTGCGCAGCTGAGGGTTGGCGTCGATAAGCTGATCAATCATCTCGGGGCGTCTGAGATGATTGTGCAAAGAGATCGAAAAGTTCCTCGGCATCAAAATCTGCAAAGTCGCAGTGCTGGCCTTCGTTCATGCTCTTGCGACTCACGAAAGCGTTTCGCGCAATTGCTGCCTGAAGCTGTCGTTCTCCAGCATGTTCATCATAAAGTTTGGATCCTGAACGTTCATGCCTGCCAAGAGCAAAAGCGCAAGCGCAGTACTGTCAGGCAAGCTTTCCTCGCGGTGTAGCACGCGCCACCAACTGACCATCAAACATCTGGTTCTGAGCCGCGGTGAGCTGGGGACCAGCATAATCAGCTCTGTTGAGCGCACTGAGAGGATTGTTGGCGAATTGTTGACCTGCACCAAAGTTGGCAGGTACACCTTGAGCTGCGCTATTAGCAGCGCTAGAGCCGGATGCGTTGGTGCTGGAAGCGCTCGGCGCAGAGCCGGTGGATGGATTGCCTGTCGTGGGAGCCGAACGAGAAGCCGAGCGCACCATGTGTATCGTGTGGCCATTCTGTATCGGGACAAGAGACTCCTCAATGCTTTGTTTGCTTGCTGCAGCAAGATGGTCGTCCTCCCCAGATAGACCCTTTTACGCACCACAAGTTTGTAGAACGCAACGGTCTCGTCGTCTTTGAGCACTTTGCCGCTATAGATCAGCCTTTGACTGGGTGAACGCGCGAGTAGACGCATCAGCACCAGGCCACAGGGCAGCTCTCGAGCTCGGGAAGCCTTCGGATCGATCCAAAGACTGATGGCAATGCAGACGTCATGACGTCGAGCTCGCAAGTATAGCATTCACTCACCTCTCAGCAGTGACTTCGGGCTTTTGTTCCTGTATCTTCTCCTTGAGCTGCCTGATCGTCGCGTCAGTGGCAATCTTAACCGACAGACGCAGCTCAGAAGGTCCTTTGATGTTGACCGAAATCTCTTGCGCAGAGTCAGCCATGATGACGAGCGGACGAATGTGAAGCGAAGGCGGGGTGAAACTCCAGGCTAAGATGGATAGAGAGCCTCCAAGAAGTAGAGGACGATACTCTGGGAGACTAGTCTGATGAGACAATTGTTTGACCAAGCAGGTCTCGGTGAAAAGAAGGACGATGCTGGGTGCTGTGTGTGGCTAGGCCGGATAAGGGAACAGCGTGTAGACTCAACTGAGATCGCGGCGTCAAGGGGCCGGTGATGGATGTACACAAGAAGACCTTACCGTGACGGCAGCAATGACGAATCTTGAATGTCGACGTGTGACGTGCAAATCACGAACCACGAATCTGAATTTGAAATCACAAATGTGAATGCCGGTCATGCTAGCATCATCTCATCGCGATCATCATCCCGAGCGCCCACCACACCGCCTCGGCTCGCTGCTGCGTCATCTCGTCCGCTG